CTCTTTTACTTTTCGGGGTGATCTCATATCTAAGATGGCCTTTATTTTGTCCGAGTTGGCCTCAATACCGCGCTGGTTGACAATGTATCCTAGGAATTTACCCAAGGTGACACCGAAGACACACTTGTTTGGGTTTAGCTTCATGCTAAATTGGCGTAGAATTTGAAAGACAGAATGCAAATCTTGTATTAACTTATGTGAAAATTGGGTTTTGACGAGCATGTCATCTACATAACATTCTATTTTACTGCCAGTTAAGGGTTGAAACAGCTTATTCACAAGCCTTTGAAAGGTTGCCCCAGCGTTTTTCAGTCCGAAGGGCATAACCTTGTAGCAGTACAGGCCGAACTCGGTTATGAAAGCGGTCTTTTCCTCGTCGGCCGGGTCCATCCTGATTCGGTTGTAGCCCGAGTAGGCATCCAGGAAGCTTAGCAACTCGTGCCCTGAGGTCGCGTCCACTAGGCGATCGATCCTGGGGAGGGGGAAGCAATCTTTCGGGCAAGCTCGGTTTAGGTCGGTGTAGTCGACGCACATGCGCCACTTTCCGTTGGCCTTTTTCACCAGAACGGGGTTGGCTACCCAGCTCGGGTAATGAACTTCCCTTATGAAGTCTGCTGCGAGGAGCTTCCCAACCTCCTCGTCGACCGCCCTCCATCGTTCTGGGGCTAGGTTGCGTTTCTTCTGTTTAATAGGCCTAACTACAGGGTCAGTATTAAGTTTGTGAGTTATGAGGTTAGGGTCTATGCTGGGCATTTCTGCTGCGGACTAAGCGAAAACATCTAAGTTACTGAGTAAGAAGCGTACCAGATCGGATCGCAAGGGCTCCTCCAAGGAAACACCGACCTGAAGTGTCCAGGTCGGGTCCTCTGCCGAGACAGGGATGGGAACGGTCTCCTCCGTGGGCGCAGCTCGCTCCTCGTTCTATTCCATGGGCCTCTCCAGCTCGAGGTTGTTGGCCACCTTAGCCTTTCCTTTGAGGGCGGCGATGTAGCACTTGCGGGACTCAAGCTGGTCGCCCCGCACTACCCCAATGCCGAAGTCCGTGGGGAACTTCATGGCTAAATAGTAAGTGGACACCACAGCTCTTAAAGCGTGGGTGATTGGTCGACCTACTATGGCATTGTATGGGGCGGGGGTCGCAACCACCAAGAAGTCGTGCTTGAGTCTTACCGTGTTAAGCCACATGCCGACTTCCACAGGAACTGTAACCTTTCCTAGGGGCCTCACTTCTTCTCCGCTGAAGCCGACCAGTGGGGTGTTCGCGGGCTTTAAGTGACTTTCTTGGAACTCGAGTTTGTCGAAAGCCGCTTTGAAAAGGATGTCTGTTGGATTGTCGGAGTCGACAAGTATGTGCCGAACTTCAAAATCATTGATTTTTACCTTTATGTCGAGTGCGTCGTCGTGGGGGTAGTGAACCCCGTGCGCGTCGTCTTTGGTGAAGAATTTGGGATCTTCTGTCCTCGGCCGCTTTGGGGGATTTTGTTCTTCTCTGGTGGCCTCACGGGTTGATGCCCGAGCTACTGCCGAGGTGCAATCCGCTACAATCGATCCTCCAACAATCACATGGATCGTTCCCCAAACTAGCCTTTCCTCCGGGGGCTGCTTCTGTGACTGCTCTGCTGGCCGGTTGTTGGACTCGGGTATATCCCTACTGCGCTCCCCCTGCTGACCTGCCTTATTATTATTATTATTACCATTATTCTGTACAAAGTTTCTTAGGTATCCGCAACGAATGAGTTCCTTTTTTTTGTCGCAGAGATTCTTACAGTGTTCGGTACTATGACCGTGGTTTCTATGAAAGCTGCAATACAAGTTTCTATTCCTCTCATTCGGGTTTCCTTTCAGACGGGGTGGCCACTTTACGTACGGGGCGTCCTTGATCATCATCAGGATCTCAGCCCGCTTCGCGTTCAAGGGTGTGCAATCTGCCCGATCTGCCACAGGAGCTCGGAATGGCTGACTTGGCTTCGCCCCTCGAGCTGGGTCTTTCTTCCTCCTGCCATCTTGGTGGGGAGGCTCGCTTTCCCTCTTCCTTTTTTCAATCCCGTCCTCAGCTCTTTGATTGATCTCTTCCTCCGTTCTTATGAACTTGTCCGTGAGCTTGAGGAATTCAGCTATGGTCGCGGGCTGGTTGACTACCATGTGCCATTTGAATTCCTTGTACGTCACTCCCCTCTCGGCCGCTATGAGCTGTATTGCGGGGTCTAGGTGTGGTATCTGTAAGCACGCGTCGTTGAATCGCTTGATATAGCCCCGGATGGACTCCCCTTCCTTCTGGACTATACCGAGGAGGCTCTCCTCAGTTCGGGGGCACCGCTTGCTGGTGACAAAGTGCGCGGTGAAGACTTGTACGAACTGGGTCCAGCTCCTTATCGACCTGGGGGCCAGGTTCCTATACCAGAGACTAATAAGTGCGCGGTGAAGACTTGTACCAACGGATATATTTATATCCATATATAAAATATATTTTGCAAAAACAAATCTCAACGATTGAAATCGGCTACTGACAGTCTTGGTTTCCATCAGAGAGAGTGCATCCCCGATCATTACCTTTGTCCGACAAAGGGGCTGATCCTATCACTATGACCACCCACTCAGATGAGATCTCGGATTGTCCTAACATACCCAGGTTTTGACCCCCTCTAAGGATCTCACTGATTGGCACATCAAAGATAGCCCAATCTGACACCTAGTGCAGTATCATAGTCGAGTCTAAGGTCAGGTGTAACTTTCCAGTTTTTCTCATCAATCTCCAAGGTCCAGGGCAATACTGGAAATCTGGTCCGGTTCAGGGTTTCAAATAAACCTACACTGCATGTGCCTTGGGTCTCACCCTGGCAGCTGAGACAGGCCACCCCAACATTTGGTAGCACACTAGTGTCAGCTTTGGCAGGATAAATCTACCCAGACTTATCCAACGGCTGTAAACATTCTAAACTAACACGAGTCTCATAAGTGTCCAGTTTAAGGGTATTACACAGAAACATACCACAAGAACATGAATCGAATATGTACTTTATTCATTTACAATAGATGCCATAATGTACATCAATCTGATTGGAGCTAAGGGCATACAACTGTCTAACACGGTTGTCAGGCAGAAAATCTTCCATGATACGCCGAACTGCCCCGCAGCGAGCTACCTTACGCCGAAATGCTCTACAGCGAGCTACCTTACACCGAGCTGCTGGTGATGCGCCGAAGTGCTTCTCCGAGGCGGGTCCCTGAGGCAGCCTTAGGCAGGAGCGAGCTTATGTTAGGGAGCTGACGGGCTTAACCCGAAGTGTCTTCAGTTCGGGATTCTCCCTACTTGTGGGAATCTTAGCTCGGGGTGTTTCCTACTTGGGAGGGTCTTAGCTCGGGGCAACGGAGTATCATCTTGTAGCGAGCTGCCACTTTCGGCGGGCTAGGTCAACGAGCTTTATTGCGCTGAGTTGTCCCAAACTGATTAGCTGAGTTGTCACTTATGTCGAGTCACGTCCACGTGTCCCCTTATTATTAGGTCGGGCCAAATCACCCTCCATCACTTATGAAATTAGTAATAACTTATTTTCTAGTTTAAGTATTACTAGATACCAATCGTTAATTTATTATTATTATTCATCATTAATAAAGAACTAATAATTTGTTAATTGTTAATTATTAATTATTAATCATATTTATTTATTTTAATAATTTCTTAGTGATTAATTTACTCTCAGTGGTAATTAATAAATAATAAATATTTTTAATTAATATTATATTAATATTATTTATTAAATTTCCATACATTATATTAAATTTTAATCATTTTAGTAAATATTTACTAGTTTATTATTTTATGTTAAATTTTTTTAAATTAATTAATTTTATAATATTTTTAAATAAATTTACCTCTACAAATAACTAAAATTCGTGGCTATAGCCATATATAACTTTTAGCTACAGATAAAGTGTTACTTAGCCACGGATAAAAGGACTGTAGCTAAAGATAAATTTCACAGTTACAGATAACTAAAAACCGTGGTTATAATTGTAAATAGCTTTTACCCACGGAGAAAATGCTCTTTAGCTACAAACTAAATGACCATAGCTATTAATTAATTTCTACTATTGTGACTTATAGGTATGAATACCTTAAAACCGTGGCTATACGTTTCTTTTAGCCAAGCTGTCCGTGGCTATATCCTATGTTTTAGCTACGGTTTTTATGACCGTAGCTAAAATACAGTAACTATAGCCCCATTTTCTTATATTGCCTAGACTCAAACAAAAGAAATTTCTTACCTCTTCTTGTAGTATTGTGCAATAGGTTACCTTTTTCTCCGGTTGTAGCGAAAAATAATCTCTTCTTCCCCAGCGAAGGCAAAAAATAAGTCTTCTTAGACAACAGCAAGCAATGGTGACACAGACCTTCTCTGGTGCCAGAGTTTATATGCGGCCGATATTACAATTCCTTCTATATCCAACAATTTTCCAATGTGATATTGGCAAGAAGTCTAACGGAGATCTGTTCTCGGACGGAGTTGGGCTGAGGTTCAGGAGGATTTAGGCTAAAATCTCAAAGTATTTGGGTAATAGTGAATAGGGGGTGTGATGCCCATTTTGGTCATTTAAGAAAAAAAAAAAAAAAGCATTTCACGCCCCTAACTTATGTACGGGGTATTTTGGTAAAAACGACATATTTCGTCAGCCGAGTTAACAGTTAGGGAGTTCTTTTTGGAGTGGTGTTCCTTCCTCATCTAAGGGGTACATAGCGGGAGGAAAAGAGAATCCTACTCTTGGTAGGTAACCAACATATCCCGAGTGAGTCGGACTAATTTCTACACTGTTTCAGACTTTGTGTCCAAGTAGAAAATCTATTACTTTCCAAAGACCATAATCTTCACCAAAGTTTTTATTTACAGTTTCTACTGTAATCTTCACCAAAATTAGAAAGTCTGTTTCTTTAAAAGCATATAGCTCGATCGATAGAAGTCTTAATTCTATTGAGTTTTAGAGTTCAGCGTGAGAGAGTTGCTATGTCAGAAATAACGATTCCTCTGCTTCAGCACGTTCGTTTTCTAGAATTAAGTGCCATGAAATCTGCAGAAATCTTGAAACCACCATTAGAATGCAATGATATCAGAGTGTTAATCAAACTGAGCGTCGATGAGAAGCGTCAATGGATTGGAAGATCTAGTGAAGAAGATGAATCAGTCATTGTAGAAGTAGAAGAAGAGAATCGTACAGTATCGATCCCGTTCTGGTTGTCACTCTTGTTTCTCCCGTGGGCGACCGAACATGTTATCGGGCAAAGCCTCTCTTTCATGAACTACTCCTTCCCAGAGACTAACAAGTTTATAAAACAAGTGTTGTCCGATTACGCTCGCGAGGTAGCCGAGGATTCATTTTCGTTGGTCACGAAGCCCAAGACCACTGTAATCGTTGCAAGGGTTGAGGTTCAGACGACGCATCATGGATACGATGAAGACGAGCAGATTGCTGAGGCAGTGAGGGAGAGCACAGAAGTCAGCAGTGAGCATATCAGCGTCGTTCCTGCATCTTTGGCTTCGATAGACGCCCTGCCAACACACAGATTCGGGAATGGAGAATCTAATATTTGTTGTGGGGTTTGCCTGGAGGTGTTTTCGTTGAATGAACAAGTTAAAGAGATGCCCTGCTCACATGTTTTCCACGGAGAATGCATAGTTCGGTGGTTGGAACAGAGGAATGTATGCCCTTTGTGTCGCCATGAGATGCCAACTGATTAAGATACTTACGTTAGAGAGAAGAGAATGCATGGTTCAATTGTTGCAGGGTTTCTTCTTTTCTTCTTTCTTTCTTTAACAAGTTCATTGTATTTAACAAGAACCTTACCTTCCATTCCGGCGTGAATACAATGTGAATGGGTGTAAAAACCGGTGACGTTGTCGAGCGACCACTGTAGCTGTATGCGGGCGAAGAAGATAAAATATCGGGTCAGGTCGGGTCATGCATATGCTCCGACCCAGACCCAATGGTTTGTATGTAATCCGAATGAGACCCAGACCCGTTCTGACCAATCCGACCCAGACCCTTTCCCTCCCAAAGTCAGTGGTTTTGCATGTACTCGTTATTGTTTTCGCATATAATCCGACCCAAATCCATACCCGTTTTCCATATATAGAATAGATTATTCATATCTGATGAGGGCAGATTTGGCCTTTATTGACATCATGCCACATGGCATCTTGGAGCAGCTGGATGATACATAGACACCACCTAAGCAATGATTTGGAGTCCCAGATTGTGGTTCGTCTTCGCCCCGACCTGGTGACCTCGACCACAACTTAGGTCGGCTAGAAGCACCTCGTCTAGGGCTGACCTGTAGCATCTCGTCACCGGCCAAAGTGACCTCGATGTGAGGAGAGACCTCCCTCGAGAGTTTGCCAACCTGATTGAGGTCCAAGTGGCGACTTGCGAGACGTGCTCACCGACCAATTCTGCATACATGACTCGTCACTATCGGGTCTCTCGGAAGTTGGCCCCCGTACCGAATGTTCCAGAGGAGACCGAGCAAGGTGCGAAGACTGGTCTACATGTACGGGTACCTTCATGGACTTCGGACCGGTTGGGCACGACCTCCCGGAGAACTCAGATGTGATGCATGAAGTCCATGCCAAGCAACGCCTATATAAAGGCCTAACCTCCAACCTGACAAGAAAAGAAGTAAGACGCATGATTACTCTACTCACTAGCAATCAAGCTCTCAAGCATTCAGCTCGCATTCACAGCATAATTACTGACTTAAGCACCGGAGCGACCTCACCGGGTTAGCTACCCCGGGTTCTCTGATACACTGTTTTGCAGATTGATCCAGCTCGTCGTTTATCTGGAGTTCGGATCACCTTCCAGCTAGGAGTAGCCAGATTGCGCACCATCAATATCATTTCATATTTAATTCATTACAGTAATTATTTTGCATATTACAGTTGTATTTTTACACTAACAATATTTATTAATTTTAATCTATGGTGCAAAAAAGATATGATATGGAAAGAGTTTTGACCAATCAAAACCCACTCATGAATTTTGATAAATAACACCTTATTTTCTATCATGTTTATGATTTCAATTTATTGGTCAGTTGTTTCTTCATATCATATCTTTTCTGTATTATAACCCCGGATAAATTTAATTTACTTTCATAAATTAAATTTTCATTTCTTGGAATATATTATTAAATTATAATAAATTAATTTGTGAAAATTCAACAAAAGTCCAACTTCAGAAAATTAATTTTTAGGATATTTATTAAATTAGAATAAATAATTCAAATATTTTTCAGAAATTTATTAAAAAATTTATCCATGCTTTAATGGAACTATTTATATTAAATTATTTTAGAAAATGATTTCTGTTAAATTTTAAATTAAAATTTCAGGCCGAGTCATGCAAATGCTCCGACCTAGACCCATTAATGGTTTGTATGTAATTCGAACGAGACCTAGACCCGTTTCGACCATTTTGACCCAAGCCCAATGGAATCCGATCCAAACCCAAACCAGTTCTGACCCAAGCTCAGTGGTTTGGCATGTAATCCGATCCATACCTAGATCTGTTTTTTGACTTGTGTTTATGTTTTAACAGTATTTAATCGTTATGCGTTTTGCATATAATCCGATCCAAACCCAGGCCTGTTTTTCCCTATATAAAATAGTTTTTTTTCATATCATTTCATATTTATTTCATTACAATAATTACTTTTAATATTACAATAATTATTATTACACTTAACAATATTTATTAATTTATTTTTCATATCTATCATTTCATTGCATTAATTAATATTAATATTATATAGCAACATAAGCCACATCAGCAGTCCTCTCCTCCCATTCCCCCTTCCCTCATTTCTCAACGCTCTCTCATTTTTCCTTTACCCCTTCCTAGTCCTTCTATGTAGCCCCGTGGCAGCTTTCTCTTCTTCTAGTTGGGGAGGTTGAGTACTTAGCGGAGATGGGGGAAATTGCCATCCCTACCCCTGAGTTGTGTAGTCCCATAGAATAATAAGTCTTAAGCACAATAAGCCCTAACAACTTTCTCCTATGCATCACACGGGGCCCACTAGTATACATAAGAAGACAAAATAAAGTCCAGAAGATGTAAAGAAGCCCATGGAAGTAATGGGCATCAATGTGCCAATTTTTTGAGACAAAACATCATTCATCTCTTCAAGGTGCCCATGCGAATCCTAAACGACAATGGCCTTTCCATCAAGATCCAAGAAGTACGGAACTTACTAGGACTTGTTAGGACAATACAGAGCATGATTAGGCACATCCACTACATACTACCCCCAAAGTAATGGACAGGCGGAGGAGACCAACAAAACACATCCGAAGATGCTAAGGAAAATGGTGTCTGAGAACCAAAAAGACTATGTTCACAAGTTCTCCACCTCGCTTTGGGCTTATAGAACATCCATCCGTTAAGGGACCTAAGTGACACCTTATTCCCTGGTTTTTAGACAAGTAGTCTTGCCCGCTGAAATACAAACCGTGTCTGCAAGGGTAGCCTACATGATGGGGAAACAATTCAACACAGGGGAAATGGAGCAACTATTGTGCGATGGGTTGGACATCATCGATGAGGTCTGTAAGAAATGTCAAACCGGGGATATTCAAGGAAGGGGACAAGGTATTGAAAACATATGCACCAGGGTAAATCAATAGGGAAGTTTGCACCAAGATAGGACCCTATATCATCAAACAAGCTTCCCATACGATATATTATGTGCTATGGCCTATGGGATCCTCAAACCAATGAGCACGACAAAACGATGAACAATCTCTAGCTTAAGTTGTACAATGAATAAAATTAATGCTTTCTTGTAATCATAAAGCTTAATATAAGGAATACAATGAATTTTCTTCTCAATTTTGTTCCTTACTATCACACTTATATTCATTCCCTTTCGTGAAAGTTGCAAACATATTCATGATGAATTTCACTTACATTCATTCCCTTTTGTGAAATCACAAACTTATATTCATGATGAATATCACTTATATTCATTCCCTTTTCTGAAAATCGCACAATATATTCATGTTGAATCACACTTGTATTCACCCCCTTTTGTGAAAATAGCATTCATGTTGAATCACACTTATATTCATTCCCTTTGGTGAAAACCGCACAATATATTCACGATGGATCACACTCACTCTTCCCATTCCCATGTCACGAGAAGTACTATATCAATTGTACTAACCCTACAGGATAAACCACAAGAGTACATAAGATCGCAAACAAACTCAACCAGACTAAAACATATAAATGGCAAACCACACCACTTTATAAGCCCTGGGTAACCGGTCCCAAGCACCACTTATAAGCCCTATGTAACTAGTCCTAGGAACCCCTTATAAGCCCTGGGTAACTAATCCTAGGCATTACTTCAAAGCCCTAGGTAACGAGTCTTTGGCACCTCTTATAAGCCCTGGGTAACCAGTCCTAGGCATCAATTCAAAGCCTTTAGTAACCAGTCCGAGACACCCCTTATATAACTAGTTCCAGGCATTACTTCAGAGCCCTGGGTAACCAGTCCCAAGAACCCCTTATATGCCCTGGGTATCCAGTCCTAGGCATCACTTCAAAGCCCTGGGTAATCAGTCCCAGGCACCTCTTATGAGCCTTGGGTAACCAGTCCTGAGTACCACTCCAAAGCCCTAGGTAACCTGTCCTAGACACCCTTTATAACCCTAGGTAATCAGTCCTAGGCATCACTTTCAAAGCCTTGGGTAACTAGTCCCAAGCACCTCTTATAAGCCTTGAATAACCAATTCCAAGCACCACTTTAAAGCCCTACGGTAACCTGCCCTAGGCACCTCTTAAAAGCCCTAGGTAACTAGTCCTAAGCATCACTTCAAAGTTCAGAGCCCTGGGTAACTAGACCCAAGCACCTCTTAGAAGCCCCAAGACAACTAGTCCCAGACATAACTTCAAAACCCAAGGTAACTATTCCCAAGCATATGTTAAAAGCACTGGGTAATCATTCGCAGGAGTTCTCTTAAAAGCTCTGGGTAATAAGGCACTTAGAACAATCCAACACAATTTTTATGCTCCACAAACCATGCAAAATAGAAACTGTCGTAAATGATGAGAATGAAAATTATCATATTTTTATCCCTTAATATGTAGTCTTTTATGCTTATTTAGTGCCTAAATGGACTCATTATTCTTATATTTCGATTTAGGACACGAAATGAGGCGTTAAGTGGAAAACAAGGTTAATCGGGTAATTCTAGACAGTTTTGGCACCGAGTGGTAATTTGTGTATAACTCTCCCATCCGGACTCTGATTGAGATGATTCAAGATGCGTTGGAAAGATAAGGAAAAGTTCTACAACTTTCATGTATTGAGTTTTGATATATACGCTACATCGAGGTCAAAATCGGGCCCGAATTATTTGGAACCGCACTACTGACGTGTTGGAGCAATTCCTTAGCCTGCAAGTTTTCATCCGGGAATTCACCACTCTCCCACTTACACGAGAACAGGGTTTTATCTGAAGAGAATGATATAAAAAGAGGAGATAGGGGGGTTCAAACCCCTAAAAGAAATTTGAAGAAAAAGGCTGCTAGGGAGAGGAGGAGGCTGCTGAATGCGAACTGAAGGAGAATCACAGCAAGGAGATCGAAGACTGACGCAAAGATTTTAAGTGTCTTCCTCTTTGGTTCTGCAGTTTGGTAACCTAGATTCAATTAGGGTTCTTGAGGTTTCTCTATT